ACGATCGTCTCGAATCTTTTCTACGTGTCGTAACCACACTTCTACTTCACTGCCCAACGAAATGCGCGTGTACCGAAACCCCGATTTTAAATTTTAATAACGAGATCTTTCATCCACTTGAGATCGAATTTCTCTCAACTAAAATATCAAGGCATGAATGGTTTCGAATTTATGTATTGAAAGTAGGTAGAGAGTTTTCAATGAATATATTCCGCGTATACCTCGCGCAGTTGAAGACTATATTATTATACACGCGTAAATTTTCGAGCAGTAATTTTTTTGGCGATCTCAGTTTAATTATCGAGATATTTATCGTTATACGTGAAAAAGTTGCATGAAATAATAATTCTCAAAGTGTCCATTATTAATTTCTGATTCAATTAATACTGTAAAATCTGTTGTTAAAATTAACCTCGATCATTCTATGCAAAAACGGATGAGAATCACTCTGATCATTAGCCAGTAGCCATTAATAAAAAGGAAGGAATCATCATTTAACGTTCTCTTAAAATAGTGCAAGTAATTTCCATCAGTTTGCCCAAGTCAGATAAATGGAAGTGAGAAGAGTGAAATAAAAGAATCTATATTCAGTGCGGCGCGAAATTAGACGTGGAATCAATTACAAATCGATGAAAAAAATGTTCGTCACGTTTTTCGATCGCTCCCTACTACAGCTATGTTTTTAACGAACGAGAATAAAACATTACGCTTCACGGCAGTTCGACATAACACAATAAATACATTTGAATCCTGTTTGTGAGTAATGGAGGAAGGGCCGACATGAACGTGTTATATCGAGTAATCCCACATGAAGGTAAAATCGTATTTCGTAACTATTTAGTTTAGAACGAAAATTACGTCATGTTGCTCCAAAAATTGAATTCTCGTAATAGCGTATTGTGTACAATAGCACTGTAACCTATTTCTTTCTCTTTAAATATTATTTTATTCTAGCATTTCTCACTACGCGCGTATCGTCTGTACGATTATATTTTTACGAAATAAATAAAAATGGCACAACTTCAGTATGTAATGTAAATATAACTCACGAGATGTCTATTGTTCGTTATTATTTAGTCATTTACAATCATGACTCGAAATAAATCCTTTCTAATATTTTTATGTTTTCTATACAAAATTCATAAAATATCTACTACATTTTACTAATTTATAGTACTATAAAGCAAAATAAAAATATCCTCAGGTATAACTTAGGATCAGAGAGGAAGATGAAGTTTTAAATCATGTAACATTCGAGAAGATACTCAACGAGCAACAGTCATCTCGTCATGACGTTGAAACATGGAAACGCTTACGGATCACATTTATAGTCATTAGTGGCTTCTTGTGCGAAGTAAGGACGGAAGGAGAGAGAGAGAGAGAGGAAGAAGGAAATAGAGCAGGAGAGAGTGAAAGAAAGAGGGGTCGCTCGTACAATCCTCCTTCATTTCGCAGCGCGTAATTCTTGCAGTTAACATGACAATAGATCCTCTCTTATCGGGCGTATACCGGTAGAACGAGAAAGGGAACTGCTGCAGGAATAAAAGCCATGCAGCAGAATCGATGCAAACGCGCGGACGACTCGCTTGGCGCGACCAGACCAAACTTATGTCCGTGTTCTCCGTCCAATCCGTGAAATTAATCTAGCTTTTGCCCGGAGATACCCATCCGCGCCAAGGGAGGAGCGATAAGACGTTGGAAACGGCGATAGCCACTCTCCTTTATTTCCCAGTCGAAAAATGAGCCTTTATTTCATCGGCGAAATGCGAAGAGAGCAGCGTTTCTGGCACCTAAACGACGCAAGAAACTTGCGACAGACTCTCCATGAGAGACTTTGGGAACCACGGCAAGGCAGTCGAGGTCCGGTGTACGTAATGCAACGGTTTATTGCTAATATTTCTTCGGGGTAATATCGGCGCTCCCGAGAGTGCTTGGCTTTCTCTTATATACCGCGGAAACTTAACAACGTCTCGGTTTCGAATCCTTTACTATTACTCGCACACGCATCTTTTCGTAGAATGCGAAGACGTTTTATCTTTTTGCACACAAATTACTGCGCAGAGATAACTTCTGTCAAACAAAAACAATAGATCTCTTCTGCAGTAAAACCATTAAGATTTTTTAAATAGATATATACCGACAAGTTAAATTTTCACGTATAACGGATACGCATTATCTCTTATTTCTCTATTAATTCCACACAGTTGTAGCTTAAACACTAAAGATGCATCACAAGGAAGATGTTATATTTTATCGTATCGATTTTTAATGAAGATTTAAACATGCAAAAGTCAGTTGCTTTAAATGTAACTTTCGGATCTGCCGAATAAAGCAGCGAGCTCAAATTTTTGCTAAAGTAAGGTGGTTTCAAATTCGCGTGAGAACGTATATATATGTATCGCCGACTACCGGCACCTCGTTCTGTTCACCACCTTTGTATAAGTGCTATGGCGCGTACTCGCGCGCCCGCCCATCGCTCCATTCATTCAGAGCGATTAAACGTAACGAGCGCCATTATTGAGGAAGAACGTGTGAGGAACGGAGAGGCAAAGAAACGACCAAAGTTCGACGGACAACGCGGCCTTTCAGGCACTACCCGTGACATTAATAGCCTCCAGAATTAAATATGGCTCGGCCCTGCTTGTCGCGATTCGCACACACGATTGTACACGGAATACACGTACGTGTGTATCTATACGTGAGTATTTCTCTATTTGAAAACGAATCGACCGTGAACGCGTCTCGAGAATATTCGGATAGTACGGAGCGGCAAGCTGCTCCCTCGTGTGGATGTTATCTTTTTGCCACTCGCTATCTAATCGCACTTTCGACATATGCATGTATTCGTGGCCGTGTCTAAAAACGATAGCACGCATAAGGCGAAAATTTACAATCATAGTCACAAGAACGAGTTCACCACGTGCTAATAATACATATAATAGAGAATAATTACATTATTTTTTGACAGATTTGGAGCAGATCTTCAGCGATAAATGGAAAACCCAATTATGTTTTTAAATTCGATCTTCCTCTTTAACAAAATTTAATCGGGCTTTCTTAATCAATAGAGAGATAAGATTATTTCAAATAATTAATAAAATACATTAATGTGTCAAGTAATCTTACAATGCTGATCCCTAGGAAGAATAGAAATACTATTCAAACAGTTTAAAATTATAAATATCAATTCAATAATTATTATTTCTTACACGATAATATAATGACGTTAATAATAAATTTGTATCCATACCTCAACATTAATACTGTATTTAAATGAGCAATTCTAAATGTTTTTTTATGACTTTAAAAAGAGTTTTTGGAACTGTCATAAAAAATACACAGGTTCATTTAACGTACAATTTTTCCAGCGATATAAAATATTTAATGCAAATTTTAAACTTTTTATTGAAGTGAAATTTTAACACCACGCGACGATAATAGGTGCCAGCTTCAGTGAAGGCGTTTATTCATCAGTCATGAAATCTGCGATTCCGTTTGAAAACATACAATAGGCGACAGCGCAAAAAAAAAAACCCCTGCGTCATTCTGCCAATCCTTCGCTTTCACGTATAATCCAAGATAAGTAAAAGAAGATAAAGACGCAGAGAAATGTTTCAACGTTACACCGGCATGGAATATGTACTCGCAATTACGCGACTGCCGCACCCCATGTGTATCACATATATGTGTGTGTGTATATGGTACACATAGACACATGCCTTTATCTAATCGCGAGCGTGCGTGTATAGGTGCCATCAGACAATACGGCACCGCATCGACGGCGGCGCGGACGAACGTCGAGCTCGAGGGTCTCCTTCAATTTTTACATAATGCTCGTTGCCTCCCCGAGCCCGTCTGATTTATTGACGATGTCGATTGGTACTCTCGCTTCCCGCGCGTTGAATAATTGTCGCTATTAATAACTGCGAATTCAATTCTCCGGTTCAATATCTACCGAGACGCTCTCGGAAGACGGCAAGACCGCGCCCCCCGATGCTGTTCTCTCCCTCTTTCTCGCGTTCATTTAATCGCGCCTTGCCTCGGAAACGCGCGTACGGTATATTCTAAAATCCATAAACCGGCGTTTCCCCCCGAGGGCCGATAGCGCGCTCGGATCGACGATAAGAGACTTATTACCCATCGTAAATTACAACCGGTTCCTTATCTCGACTGTGTGGCGTTGCAAATTATCGGCTTTGTATCGAGAGATCAGTCGGAAAGCGCGGGCACACGCAGAAAAGAACGATCGACGATCTCACGACGTACACACGTGTGGTGTATTCGTTTGGATCGATCGCGCGGAATGGAAAATGGTCTTCAGAATGCAATTGACGCCGAAGAGAATGATCTACAAGCGCGCGCCTCGACATCCGTAGATATACTCGCAGTTGCTTGTCGATAATCTTCTTAAACATCAATTTCAAAATCTCCCCTCTACTCCGACGTAAAATAAACCCGATGTAATCTCGTCTTCCAACTTGTAATATTATTTCAATAGCACACACGCAGAGATCAAAGTATACGACGTCTTATCGCGGACGGAATCAGAACCGTTTTCCTTGAGATTATAATAAAGACGATCCTATCTGTTAACTGAATTCATCGCAATGCCCGATATTTCTTCATTGAAAAGGTAAAGAGCTTCTATTGGCTCATAAATAAAGATAAGACAAATAATATTCAATTATGTACAATATAACTTCACTTATCTAACAGGATCGGGGTCAACTAAGAAGAGCTGTAATATAGTAAGGGAGAGAGAGAGAGAAAGAGAGCCCCGTTCTCTCTACGCTCATCGATGCGAATACGTTACGATAGAGTTTCACACTTCATCGGGATAACAGAGATAATTCTCTCTCGTTGAGTTTACCGAAGGTGTCAGATAAGTGAAGGCGGAGTTTATCGGCCGTGTGCGCGCGCGGGGGACCGACGATTCCGCTCCGCGCGAACGCGCTCGTTACGCGCGAGTACGAAAACTCGATTATGCAACGGTTCGTTACCTTGATACTGTCGTAGCAGGCGGTCACCCGTCCGTTCTGCACCTCGACGTTAGCCGGCGGATGGGCGAACTTGCACTCCGTGTCGGGTCTGGTGCACTTGTTGCGCTGGAACTCCCTGCAAACCTCCAGTTGCAGCCACCGCGAGTCCTTGCCGTTCAGTAGGTTATTCATGCTGACCATTGCCATTCTTCCACTCCTGGAAGACCGAGAGTCCCCGCCGTCCGTTGGCCTCTACCGTGAGAGAGTAGTAACCCCCCGGACTATCCTCTCTCTCTCTTTTTCTTTTTCTTTCTCTCTCTCTCTCTCTCTCTCTCTTTGCCGTTCTAAACTCTTGCTCGTGATGATCGGCTCCTTTTCTCCGGTCGCGTGCACACGCGTCGACTGATCTTACCAAGGATATAGACGTTTCGGTTTATGGAGTATACGACACCACCTCGCGACACGAACTCGTCGGCACTTGTTCACGGGATTTCGCCAAGTCCGGTACTGAACCCTTTCGTTCCACCACTTTCGCTTCGTTCTCTCTCTCTCTCTCTCTCACACACACGCTCACCCCTTCCTCTCTCTCTCTCTCTCTCTCTCTCTCTCCCTTTCTCTCCCTCTCACCTTCCTCTACCATTCACACACAAACACACTATATGCGAAATCCCGCGTGTGCCTCGGAGTCATGTAACTACTTGTGTGCTATATACCTTACGGCAGAAGATCTCTCGTTTAAGCGCGATGTGATGATCTTAGTGTCCCATCTACACGATGACCCGCGTCTGTCTTCCTGTGCGTAGATCTTCCGCGTGGGAAATCACCGCGCGATTTCGTTCTTCCTCACCTCGAAATCACGCTTGGCTCACGTCGTCGTTGTCGTTGCGCGATATGTCGAACCGTCTGACGAAGATTCGCGTTTATCAGCGACGTCGGCTGTTTCGAGCGTGGCTTATCGCCGTTCTTTCTCTCTTGCCTGATATCGGATCCCGTGGCGAGTATTAATCGAAGAAACACGGCCGGCTTAGGCGTTGTTGTCGATGTGATTCGCGACTCTGCGAAATTCTTTAATCTCGTAGGCCGTGTTTTGATGGTGCGCGCGTTTCTCACACGAGATAATCTCTCCGGGAAGGCGTAAAAGCTAAATGTACACAGGCGAGAGAGAGGGACAGGATGCGGAGAGATATCTCACCGGGGAAAAGAGAAGAAGCGAAAAAGATGAAGCTATATATATATCGACAGCGATTAGGCACCGGTCGATTTTAGGCGGGATGGCGCTACTCCTGGCTTCGTGATAAGGCGGCGTCGTAGGTCGTCGATCTCATCTATCGACTCCTTATTCACTATATTTCCTCTGTCCTCCTTGCAGCGCACCGTACTTGAGAAGCTGTAGTCTGGGCGTAGTAGTAGTAGTAATAGTGGTGATAGTAGTAGCAGTAGTAATAGTAGTGGTAGTGATGGTAGTAGTAGAATAGTAGTCGAGCAAAGCTTGAAAGCCTTCGAAGCTAAACGTCGACCAAGAAGAGCGTGCTCTCTAGACGCGCGCGCTTTTGCACAAGTATCTCCCTTCCTTTATGCACACACAGGCAGTTGGTCGCCGCTGAGGGTGGTACTGGATCGCACGTGTGTATATGTGTATGTATTCGTCTACGTATGCGTGTTTCGAAAAGCCGGTCGTGACGTCCTTCAAGCCGGTTTCAAACCAACGCGTGTGTCTCGCGGCGGCGAGTCTACTGGAAGGGGTACAGGGCGATGGTGGTAGTCGTATATAGCGGAGGAGCTGGTGCAGGATTGTGTTGTTCGTTCACCACGGCGGTCTGCCGGTGCTGCTGATGAAGCAGAAGATGGAGAGGGGAGAGAGAAGGGCCGCTCCGTGCGCGTGGAAAGGTGGAGGAAACCCTTACGTGCCGTCCTGCCGTGACCGAGAGGAACAGCAACGCGCGAGTCGGTTATTTCGAAATTCCGTGGACAGGAACGGGATGCTGGTAGCGGATGAGGTAGCGACGGCTGGAGGTAGGCGCCGAAGAAGCGTGCGAAGAGAACGGTAACGGAGACAACGATGAGTAGGAGCGGTAAATGGGTTGTAGTGTTGTAAGCACGTGAAGACGGCGGGCGACAAAGCGGGCGTACAGGCGACAAGAGAGGGCAAAGGTCCAGCGGCTGGGTCGCGCCTCAGGTTCTTCGGGTCGTGTCGCGGGGTCGGACCCGAACAGGGAAAGAGAGAGGGTTCTCCTGGGGTGACACAGAAGGGGGCAGAGGCGCGGAAACGGCGAGACAGAGAGAGGGAAGGGGGGTTGCCAGGGGGCAGGGAGGACAGGGAGGGGGACCGGAGGGGGGGAGGGAAGGAGAGGATTGCGAGTTAGCGAGTGACGTTGCGCTTCCGTTCCTCGGATTTACGTCATTTATTCGGCGCACTGCTGGCTCCTCCCGCGCGGTCGAACTCCGGTTCCTGCTGTTCTGGAAACATACCAAAAGCGAAAACTCGCGTTACTGCGGATGCAAAGGCTTAAAATGCTTTCTGTTTCGGGCTTTCGGGCAGTCGGGGATGAGGGGGTGGGGCGGGCGGGCGGGGGTTAAGCGCAAGCCGCGAACAGACAGACAGATGGAGTCGGAAAAGCGCAGGACTACGCAATGCACAAGCACGCTCGAGCACAAACGACAGACGTTATCAATGTCGGGATTGCGGACACGTCGCGACTGGAATCCACTGAAAATATTGACGGATAGCGCTCTTGTTCCCCCCCCCCTCCCCTTCCGCCCCTCCCTCTTCCCTCCCTTCGTCCGTATGTGCAGATGAAAAGCGAGTCGCACGCCCAAGGATCTGCCCGATTTGAATATATGTACAACTCGAAACGTAAGTGGCTCTCTGCAGCCCGCGAAAATATCTACAAGGTGACAAAAAAGATTCTTCCACGGTCATCGTCGATGCGTTCTCAAAGTTGGTCTTAAAGTTGGTATCAGAGCTAAAAGTAGCCATTTTGAATTTTTACTTTTATATTTAATAAAATATAACACACTAATACTCCAAATTTTTTTTATAAATGTACTTTACTAATAATGTGATGAACACAAAACTTTGTGGCCAAACTTTTTTGTCACCGTGTATTATAACCGAGATAATAGATCCGCAGATAATAGATTGATTTCTTATCGAGAGCTCAGCAAGAATATTTAAATATACACATTTTTGCAAATATATTGTAATTTATGATATAAGAGATATATATGAATGATCCAAATATAAACAAGTGGTTAATTCGATTGAACTTTTATCGACTGATAAAAACATCCGTTCAATGCTAAATATTATCAAAGCAAGTTATACGCAACTCTAACCGACTGATTGTGAGTAAATAGCGATCATCAGTAAAAAAAAAGACATAATTTAATAATTCTAGTTGCGAAAACTCACAACGTGCCATAACTCTTCGCGATCTGCTGCGTACATTAGCCGGAGAAAAACTGTGTTTGCTTACATGCAGCATAAACATCCGGGGCGCGGAACGTTCCGGGAGTGAAAGGAGACCAGGGGCGGTCGTGTATTTTATGTGCGACGACGTAGAGACAGTTAAGGCGAAGAAAAAGGCACGCGCGCGGCCAGGACTGTAGTACAATTTTCCGTCGCGCAAGTAAGCCGCTTACGAAAAGCGGGCTCGAGTCGCCGTTTCTCATGTTACCTGGCGCGAGTTATGGCAGCGTATGTGTGCGCGTCCGACGCACACACACACACACACTGGCGAACGGCCGCGTCTCGCCGGCAAAGAAAAACGTTTCGAGCGCGATCGTTTGTTTTCACCCCGGGATTCCGCGAGTTCGCTGAGAACCGCTGATATAACGCAACGGCAACATTCCGCGAAGTCTCGCCGTCACCGAGTGTCAGATACGATAATTATTATGTGCTTAAAACGTCACGTAAATTTGCACAAATACCAGGATCTCTTTGAGAACAATTATTATAAATTTTATTTATTATATAAATTAATGTACAAAATTTCAAAATCAAATGGTATTGATCATCAATATTAACTCACGATCTATCTTAATTTTAATAAAGCAGATCCTATTTAGAAACAAATTTCCTTAAAATAAAAATTTAGCGAAAAAGTTTTGTAAAAAAGAACATCCTGTTTATTATTTTAAAGAGTAAAAATTAAAAAACAAACTAAACACTAAAAAACACGAATACATCAAACAGTAAATATGTCTCTCTCCGCGGCGCAATAACGTGAAATGTAATAAAGCAACTACCCAAGCTCAGTTACAAAATGAATATACTTTTTATTGTACTAGTAGTTCCATTGCTTTCTTCTGGATATTTAGAAACTTTTATCTATTCGCTAACAAATCTGAACGTACGTCAAGGTACATAAAAACGCGTGAATACGATAATCCGATAAATTTCACCGAAATCAATAGCCGTTGGAATCAACAACATATACAGAATGTTTTAAAACTAGAAAGTAGATTTGAAAAAAATGTTACGAATAAATTTATATGTGAAATATGTAATAAATTGTCACATCTATATAAAAGAAATGTGTCGATCCAGCTTTAACCTTTATCCAGGCAAACAGATTCTTTTTATTTATATAAACCTATTGGATTCATTTTGTTCGTTCGCTTACTGCTTCGTGCGACGTCTAAAATATTTCAATTTTCGTTTACTGACAGTCTTTATTAATCTGTAATTTTATATTCATAATTTAAATACATCATTTAATGAACGAATCAGTTTACTTACAGTTCCTATACATTAATATATAATATTTTTCATGAATATTTCATATATTTTAATTACAAGTTTATATAAGTAAAAGAGGGAAAACTATATTCTGTTTTATAAGTTAATAGATATTGTTTTTAAGTCGAGCTTTAGAAAATTAAATTTAAAAAATAATGAAATATATTATATATACACAATATTATATTTGAAAAAAATTAGATGTATGCCAGTTTGTTGTGTCAAAAAATACGATACATAAAACTGTATATTTAACACGAACGAACATTATATAGCATCCAATTACTCGGGCAAAAATTGCTTCGTCAAAGAAAATATATCGTTCAAATAGAAGTTAATGTGTCCGCTGAATCAGATGTGCGCGTGTTGCTGATAGAGAACAAATCGTCGGCAATATCGTCTCGGCGCCGATGTGAAATTTTGATCGGGAAAAACGAGAGGCTTAGTTTTATCAATAATTATTACGCAGAGCCGGCAGGGGCACGACTAACACATTCAGATAATTTCTCTTTCTCTGTCGTGACTTCTCTCGCGTGCTCGGGAGACTCTGTCTCTTTCTCTCTCGTACTTATTCTTTCTCCTTCTCTCGTTCTGCCGATCGAATCGATATACGTGCACGAATGCGGCTTCGTCCACTTCTTCTTTCACGTGACTACCGCAGGAAAGAGGGCCGACCGAATCAATATCTCACACAGACATTTCGACCTCGTCGCTGTCGCCGCGAGCTCCTCGTACCCTTCGAAGGTCGTTCTCATCGTCTGACAATGACTCGAGATTCGACGGTGCAAAACAAATCTCTGAATCTCTAATTAATCCGTCTTTTTACCGTACCGCGACCGACACACGCAAAAACATTCGCGTGTCATGTAGCGTGAGTGTGAGAGCACGTGCACCGAATGTGAGCGCGCATCATCGGGAAGCACGCATGTACGCGTTCAATTGCAGCGTGTTTAATGTACATGAATTGACACTCTGCGCGTATTAAGTTATGTGGGACCTCGGTAAGGCTTTCGCACAACTACTTGACAGTTTAACTAATTCCGAGTATCGTTAAAAATTGCAGCAAACGCGAAACTTTACATGAAAATTGAATTAGAATATTGACGATTCGTGAGAGATAGCATATTATCGTACTAGGCAACCTTGGGATGTTGTTTCTATTTGTACTCTATTTCTGTTATTTGCTGAATATTTAATATCCCCTTATTTTACAACTTTCATAGTCTAATAACCCAAAATGTGTATATTTTATATACACATAAAGATTCCAATAAAAAAAACTAAATTTATCAAAATTAATTAAAATAAATGTTATGAATATTATACGAGTTACACGTTTAATGTAGAATCGTCCAAAAAAACACGTTAAATTTTAATATCAAACATATCGGAAAATTAGTTAAGAATTCAGTAAATTAACTATTATTTAATTCTTCCTAATATACATATATATATTTTACACACAGCATTTCCATAAAGCATAAAATAAAGATTAAAAAAAAAATAGGTCGCGTTTTAATTTGAAAATAGCGACGTGCCGGATATTAACCAGAGATGTGGTTTTCATACACTGCAAGCTTTTACTTGGTTGGGCGGCTCATTTATAACATCGCCATTATAATGCACCGGTTAGATACGTGATTGCGGTCGATTGGACAAATCAGTCGACGATATGCGAGAACCAACGATTCGATCCACAGAGGAAGAGCGCGTTAGATAGATAGATAGATAAATAGATGGATAGAAATAGAAAAGAAAGAAAAAGAGAGGGAGGAAGGGAGGGGGAGAGAGAGAGAGAGAGAGAGAGAGAGAGAGAGAGAGAGAGAGAGAGAGAGAGAGAGAGAGAGAGAGAGTTACGTAAATAGAGACACACAACACCGGAGATGAGAGAGAGAAAAGAGAAGAGGACAAAGAGTGGTGAGGTAGAAAAAATGATTTTTAACATTTCCGATAGATTGCACCTGATTACCCGGATCGTACGAGCGGGCACATGCAATTCTGCAGGCGGATAGCTGTGTGCGTGTATGCATGAGCACGCTCGTTCATTCGATAGGGCTCCCTTTGTGCGCGAGACCGAGAGTAAAGTAAAAAAAAAAAAAAAAAGAGGAGCGAAATTAACGGAATGAAACAATGGGAACGACCGGGCTTAAGGGTTGCTGCCGACTGTGTAATGGAATTAGGTCCGATTAAATTAGCTAAAAGGATTTTGGGTATGTACCGAAGGAGCAAACTACGTTTTCGATATTATCGTATTTCTTCCTCGCGCTTGCGAATACAACCGGTACTCCGCTCGCCACCACCCTTTTCCCCTCTCTCTGTCTCTCTCTTAATGCAACTTCAATAACTGTTACGTATAACTTACATTCATATAGATTTTTAAGCGGAGAATGTAAATGTCGTTCTTTCTCCCATCTCATAAAAGGCTAAGATACAATACTATACGCGTTCAAATATTAAAAGTTAATCACTTTTTCATATGAAATCAGTTTTAATCTGAACCGTAAGAATTGAAAATATCTCTTTTATACTACTACGTTCGTAATGATTTCAATCACAATTTAAAAATAATGTGTGTGTATTTTCTATTATATCGAATTATATTCTCAAATTAATAGTGAAACAACTCTTTCAACTGTTTAATGCAATGTTCAATACACGCTTATCTGAAAAAAACACAACTAAAAAATAATAATTAGAAATAGATAAATATAAATTT